ATAAAAAAGGAAAAAAAGAACAAGAAAAAAAAAAAAAAAAAAAAAAAAAAAAACAACAACTGGTAATACATTAATTTTAGATTGCATGTGAGAAAAGAATCAATACAAAGTGATAATTTAAATTAATGGCACAATTTAACAAGGCATATAACATAGCGGAATGTCGGATGTATATATATATATATTTATATATTTATTTATTTGTGTTAACTAAATATGTCCAATAAAAAAGTGGACTAAATGAACAGAAAGAAAAACAATTTTTATTTTTTTATTGGACACATTTTTTTGTTAACAGGAAAACCAAAAGATATATATTTTGCTATTCATATTAACAAAATATGTTCATTAAAAAAAGTAGACCACATGATAAGAAATAATATAAAACAATAGTTTGTCCTTTTTCAATCCCCCTGTAAAATGCAAATAAAATACGAAGATTTTGGGAAGTCATGCCATGACCGCGTTTTGTCCGAATTTGCCTTATGATTTGCATTAAATTTGAATTTCATTGTGAAATAATGACGGATGGGGATAATCAACAATCAGTCATGTTATTGGCAGTATTATATATTTTTTTATTACATCACAGTATATTCTTATAAGAGTTAGTGATAGTTAACTACTAGCAGAAAGGATTATTCACATAATAAAAACAAAATTCTTTTTTTGCATCAATTATTCTGAACGGGATCAAAGAATTATTTTGGGACAGGTAGGACTAGTTAAATTATAGCATGAAGCAACCAGTTAAAACAACATATTTTATTTTATTTTTTATTAGAGTGGGCATTATTAGTGATTAAAAAAAAAATATTTCTGAAATGCCAGAAAAAGTGTAAAAACAAATTCAAAATATGCAGTAAGCCAACATGGCACACGCCGAGCGCACAGCTTTTCAATATTATAGTCAGTTTTTTACTAAAAAGAACTAACACACAACAAATCTGCAATGGGAACTCCCGATTGTCAACGTACCAAGGTCTTTTTTTAGTTATTTATTTTGCAAGCTTGGAATGATAATAAAATTAATATAAGTGTGCAGGGCATTTCAGACAACACGGGACTGTCGGATCCCTAGGCAGTCGATGGCACGTAACGTCCTTACACTGGCAGGGTCAACAAACAGGACTTCACAGAATACAGGCATTTTAACACACAACAACAAATTAAATTTGACTAAAAGCCAAGCAAAAAAAAAAACAAACAAACAAAAAAACCTCTACATTTAGACAATAAACTTTTATAAAACAACAAAAGTTTTTACAAAAAGTCAGTTCTTAAAATATATTTCTTTAAAAGTTTTTTTTTTTTAAAGTGAGAAAGAGACTTGCATTAAATTTTGCAAAAAAACATTTTTTTTTGCATATAAAGTTTTCTTAGTGTAATTATTTTGAGGTTCATGTTTGTTGTTGTTGTTGTTGTTTTTGTTGTTGTTTTTGTTGTTTTTGTTGTTGTTTTATATTTTTTGGTTTAAACCAAAGTCAATTTTTTTTTCAAAATATTTTCTTGACAAGAATCCAGTAAACCTGTCCCAAAAGCTACATTTCCAGTGTTCATTGAGTCACGCGTAGACCACACATCTTTAAAAGTAATTTTTTTTTTCTTAAAAGAGAAAGATTCTTAATTTCTATTATTACCCGATCAATATATGTGGGAAAAGGGGGGGGGATGGTTGGGCAGGAGTGGTTCGATGAAGCTGGAATCACAGCATTTAAACATTTCTTCATAAGCCGATGGGACGACCGACCAGCGTTTTGGTTGAAATCCTATCTTTAAAAGTAATTTTTTTTTTCTTAGAAGAGAAAGATTCTTAATTTCTATTATTACCCGATCAATATATGTGGGAAAAGGGGGGGGGGGGATGGTTGGGCAGGAGTGGTTCGATGAAGCTGGAATCACAGCATTTAAACATTTCTTCATAAGCCGATGGGACGACCGACCAGCGTTTTGGTTGAAATCCAACTCTACTTCAAAATGAAACGAACGCGAACTGGAGAAGTTCCTGCTACTTTTTTGGGTCGTTTCCCTTTGAGTTACCCCTACTACGAAACGAAGCGAAATGAAGCGGATTAACTCTTGATCACGTTATGTCATTCGGTTCTCTGCAGTGGTTGTCTCCCATCCACGCTTTCATATCGTAGACCTTACTCTCCACCGGCTTTGTGTTTAGAAACTTGCAAGCAATACAAGCTATCCCGTCAATCCCTTGACTGCTGTCGGACCGGTACATGTCCTTGTACTCCAGCAGTTTGCTGTAGGCCTTCCAGTCACCGGCCAGTGTCTTCAAGTGCAGCGCCAAATCTTTGGCCGACTTGAAGTTGGCCGCGTTGACGACAGTGTCCTTGGGCAAGTGCCGGTCGTAGTTGGCCCCGCCCCTCACCACTGGAACGATGTGCATTTCCGGCTCGAAGAGCTTGAAGAGTTTTTCAGTGACATAGTCCGTGCAGATCGAGTTCTCGAAGGAGAGGTAGAACATGTACTGCCAGGGCAGTTGTGCCAAACAATCGGGGTTGTCTTTGGAGCAGGGCTGGCCGCATGCTCCGTAGATGTCCACGTCGATATATTTCTGGAAGTTCAAAAAAAAAAAATGAAAGATATTTTTAGAAATAGTATAGCCAAAAACGGCAGTCCAGAAGAATATCTTTTTTTTTACTATGATTAAAGTGTACAGCTTATGTGTACATCTGCAAAATTCGATGGTGTCAATCTTGGATGGGTTTAATTTTGAATGACTAATTGTTTTGTTTTGTCAAAATCATTCTTTTGAGATAACAATCTCAGGAGTAAAATTTAATCACCTCTAGAAGCACAAACATTAATCGATTTCATAATGTATAAATATTTTGATGGCTGCCAGGGGGGGAAAAACAAGGTACAGAGACCATCACTACTTAATTGGTGTTACATAAATAATGTGGTCACTTTTGTGTAAATAAAGAAAAAAAACAAAACGCAAACTAAACGCATTTTTGTTTTCCAAATGCGTTTTCGCAACTGGAACTGATGTGGAAAATAATAAAAGAAAATCAAAATATAAAAATGTAAAAAAAATAAAATAAAAATTTGTCAGAGCTAAGTCTAGACAAATCTGCATGTGAGAGAAAGTCTTTTAAAAAAATGCATGCCTTAACCCAAGTTGGTATTTTTTTTTTAATGATTCAATTTTCCAGTTAAAGTAGCGGCTATTTCTTGTCTTAAATTCTTCTTGAAAGCAACGCAATTAATTTTTTATAAATGAATATGGTGTGCTACTATGTTATCAGAGCCAAATAATGTGCGTATCCAACTCTTTGGCTAAATCCTGGAGTGTAACAGACGCTTGAAATTATTCACAAAATGATTCCTGATGAGATTATTTAGTTTTTTTGATGTCGTGAAAAATTGGGGGGGGGGGGCATATGGTAAATAGTAACGAATAATTTATACAGATTTAAAGCTACTATCATATATACGTAAAATTAGTTCAGTAACTTTTTGTTTCTTTCACATTTGCTCCTCAATCATGAACAAATTAGAGCAGTAAATAACACAGTATGGCATCCGACACAACTTTCGACATCAGGGCCAGAGGAGGCTAACGTTCGAACACAATAAGAATGCCGCAGGGTTGTGTCATTAGGTTAAAACATATTCTTCAAAATCCTGCTCCTTTGTCGATCAGAGTTGAAATGGGAGCACTGCCCGCCCCTCTCCCCACACTCCCGCCACCCTCTGCCCACTTCGTGATGACTACACCGTTTCATATGTATGATCCATAATCGCAAATCGCACCAACGCCCCCCCCCCACCCCCCCCCAAAAAAAACAACAACAAAAAACAACAAAACAATCAGGTACACATGCCATGATACAATTAACCAAACAACCATTCACTTGTGTCCCGTTACCTGCATCTCTTTGACATAATCTTCTCGTCTTGATTGCGTCTTGCAGTTGCTGACAAACCAGGCGGCAGTTTTATTCTTCATCTTGGCAATCTCACCTGGTGGACATCACATTTTAAAAATAATAATCATTTGATTATCTCAACGAGTGGTCGCAAAAGTAAGGCCCGGACACTTAATAAGTCCAGAGCTAAGAAAAGATTTAATATACTTTAAATTTGTACTAAATTACTAGCTATATTGGACCCTTACTGATGTTCTGATGTACCCAGTGACGCAGCAAGATTTTTAGGTTTTCGCTCAAATCGGGGCGGGCTAAAAAATTTCCGCCCCCTTCCAGACGCACACAGCAAGCGAAAGATAATGCCCCTCAATAGAAAGAAGTACGAGTCATCGGGGGCGCAGGCCCCACACCTCAGCAACCCTCTTCTTACTCAACTGCATATATATATATATATATATATATATATATATATATATATATATATATATATATATATACAATCGTAAGCTGCTGTGCATTCATCTGACACCGCGCAGTTGTCCGTTGGAGCTGTTTCCACTAAAACACCTACATCTAACTCCCCAAGCCGTTTACATACTCAAGCTACCCTTAAAGAGCACACCACAATTTGCGACAAACATGTTTACCAGTCAGTACGCCTTTTCAGCGTAAAAGGCGCTCACAACATCTACTGACATGACTTCGCGAGGGATAAGGTGCATACAGTTTACATGTAGGCACCACCACCGACACCACCACCACCACCATGCTGCTCATGTTTTTACATCAAAACCAATCTCAAACTGTTTTGCTACCTGCTGCTAAGCATTGTTTGACGACCTGTCGTGCTCTGAGAGAACATGGCGTATCAACCAGGGGGTTTCTTTCATCTAGATCTCGGGGGGGGGGGACTGACTACCCCCTGGAAAGCCAAGTGCCCCGCTCCGAGCAAAAATATATCCAACAATAAATCAACTGGCACTGCTGGCACTGCTGGCACTGCCTCCTGAAAAATCTGAAGTGCCCCCACCCCGGGGGAAATTTTCAAAAATAATCCCTGATATCACCTCATGGTGTCGCGTTTGACCATGACTACTGGATTTTCTATTAGTACTTTAGTAAATTTTTTAAATATTATTATCAAACGGTTACAATGTGAGAAAGGTTGGGAGGAATGGGCTTTGACTAGACCGACTAACATACAATGGCGCACCCAGCCTGGTACCTGGAGAAAAGATCCATTCTCCCCCCCCCCCCAACCAACCCCAACACTCAAATGTGAAACACGCTATTTTCATTTTTTTATAAGGGTGGGGGGAATGGGCTTTGGCTAGACCGACTAACAAACAATGGCGCACCCAGCCTGGTACCTGGAGAAAAGATCCATTCTCCCCCCCCCCCCAACCAACCCCAACACTCAAATGTGAAACACGCTATTTTCATTTTTTTAAAAATATAATTAATTAAAGTCGATTTTGACACCTCCAACTAGTCTGGCAACCCGGGGACATCTGTTCCTCTCTGCCCCCACCCTTAGCTACCCGTCTGGTTTCATAAATCCTAAAAAAATGTACACCATTTCGTTATGGATTTGTTTTGCATTATAATGTGTTTAATTTTCTCCATATCCCTTAAAGTTGTGTTCTTAATAGGTCACCTGACCCCTTTGGCATAATATAAACTTTAGCATGAATTTTTCCTCAAATGCTTTTAGGCCATATACGGTTTGCAATATGTGAACCCAGCATGGGCAACTCTATCGCCAACCGACCCTTGTCACGAATGGTCAAATCAGGTAGGGCACATTCGTATAGGTCAAAATGATTAATTTTCTTTAAAGTGTATAATTTCAGCCAAACTACAGAGTTGTTGTTTTTTTCCCATCAGAACAGAAAATCGTTTTTTATTATTATTTTATTTACTAAACATAATCCGCCTACCGTAGTTGGGTCTCTCCTTCACAGGCTTGGGCTGGAACCTCAGCCTGCTGTACGGGATGAAGATGTCGGAGTCGGTCCTGTAGGTGGCAGTCAGGTTGAAGGCGTGATTCCAGACGGAGTGACTGTCTGAAATCGACAGTGAGATTGAAAAGATAACTAATAAAGCAATGCTACAGGATAATGCATGTTAAAAAATACTAAATATCAATTAAGCAAGGAATCGGTGCAGCGTGTATTTTCGCTAAGAGTTGAAACTACTTAATGGTGTTACTATATTATGTCATTCAGTACGGTTCAGTATCAGCAATTCCTCTGATTGACTATTGTTTATTGGCGCTTGAAAGTGGGGGGGGGGGTTCCTTACACGGTGATCCGCCAATGGCGGCCATTTTTTATCAAATTATTGAGGGGTCAATCATTTTCGCAGAGGAGGTGCGGCAAAAGGGGGGGGGGGGGGTGGTGTTCCTTACACGGTGATCCGCCAATGGCGGCCATTTTTTATCAAATTATTGAGGGGTCAATCATTTTCGCAGAGGAGGTGCGGCAAAAGGCTTGACACACCCCAGGCAGCACTAAGCCGAGTTATCCACTGCTTTCACTGTTTGGACGATATTGTTTTATTTTTAAAACTCGCTTGGGGAAAAAAAAATCCTAACAAATGTATCCAACTTACTTAAAATTGTCAGTACGTGATGAATTCATGAAAATAAATGTTTCAGTGTCAAACATGCATCTGCAAAGCGATGGCATTGATATAAAAAAAAATATAAAAAAATAAACAACCCTTAAAAACAAAGTTTATTTGCCTAAAAACTTTGAATGCATTTTCATTTGCATGTATGATATTGTAAGTGTTGTATCATGCATGCGTTTGTAGCAAATGAGGTTTGATGAGGAAAGGGTTTTAATAAAATTTAATTATACTTTTCAGTGCGCTTTCAAGTCGTGTTGGAAATAAAGTCTTTTTATAATGTGTTTATATGTATATATATATATTATATATATCAAATTTTGAGTATACAAATTGCATTCTGAAAATTATCAACAAAAAAAAACAACCCAAAAACAACAAATGTCTATTAATAACTGGCAATAGAAAATACCATTTTCTTTTTTCCCCATCACTCAGCACCTCCTCCCCTTCCCCTGGACCCAGCAACCTGGAGCTGTAACGCTTGTCCCGTCAACACAGGCGACCTTAAGGGTGAGTACGAGAAAGGACTCAATCGACCGAACGAAAGGGTCACGCGTGACAACAACAAAACTATGCGTTTTACCAGACGGAATTACGATTAGAGAGAATGTCTCCCTTCTTTGAGATTTTCTGGCTCCCCGTATTTTAGTCTTTTCAAATTTCTGCCATGACCCCTAGACTAGTCGGTTACTAGAAATGAATACAAAACCAATTTATTCCAAATCATTTTTTTAACAAATGATTTTTGCTCGAAGAGAAGTTTGCTCGAAATGGAACTCATTCAACGGAGGTATAAATAAAGTGATTGAAGTGCGAGTGAGTAATGGGGACAACTGTAAACTATTTAGTATCATTTATTTGTGTTTTTTTTTTTTGAATGATTCCAATTGTGCAAATATATTTCTAATAAATTTCTGGATACGGGACTGTATATAACATAAACATCAAGTACTGACCGTATAGAAAACTTGCACCCGTGTGATGCGGTGATTCCCAAACTGCCGCCGCGTACCTCTCGTGGGGCCATCTTTTAGGTGGTCTGTAGTTATCGTTGAGGCCCCCCACGTACAGGATGACTAGATCCGTGTCCTCGGTAACCTGGGAGTCGTCGAAAAGACAGTTGGGATATTCACACTGGTGGAAACTGAATGCTTGCATCCATGACGGACGTCGCAGAACGGAGACCCGGAACTGCTTGGTAACAGAAACGTTCATCTTCGTCTGATCGCACGCAAGGAAAGGCAAGCGATTGCACTGACCCATCATGTCCGTATTTTGGTGAAGCTCCGAAGAAATGACGTCAGAAGTGTTTTGATTATTTGAAACTGTACTGTTGGCGACATCAGTGGTCGTGTTTCTAACGTGAGCGGAAGCAGCACCAGTGGTGCATTCTGAAAAACTCGCTGCAAATTCGGGGACGCCTGTTGTGCTTTCGTCGGCGTTCGCTTCACGGTAATGGTGTGGACCCCGAGACCAGACCGCCGAGACATCGCCTGGGACGAGAACTGAGAACGGCAGTAAAGTCGGCACGATGTCTGTGTACGTCGCAAAAAGATAGAAGCAGATGGCGAATGTGATGAGCACCAAGAGGACGAGGCTTTTGCGCGACAGTGACCTGGAAAGACGAGAAGAAATAATTAGTACGATGTTGTCAATCAAAAGGTTGAAATCACATTTTTCTTTTTTACTTCCCATATTGCATGAACCTATCAATTTTTAAAACTCGTATGATTTTATAAAAAAATTGTAACAATCTCACAATGGGGAATTATTTTTTTAATATATATCTTTTTAGTAGACTGATTCTGTAACCTAATCACTTTGTTTATTTTATTTATTTATTTTTTTTTTGCTAATCATTTTTTACTTTCAATAATCCGCGCTCTAACCCAATTAAAACTTTTCTTTCTCTCTTAAACTGCAGGAGTTGTTCGCTACAAATTCATAAATAAATATCTTCGATGAAATTACCTAAACAATGCACGTCGAAAATTTTGATTTTATGGCCACGTCTAATATCTTTTGGAAATCTCAAATAATATATCTCACAATAAATATACTTTTTAAATAAGGAAAATATTTATTTATACATAAGATTTCCATTTAATAGAAAATAAAATTTAAAAAAAATGAAGAGAAACCACCGAAATTCTTGTAAAAGTTTTATCAGCGTTTCAATTTTAAATTATTTTCAAGTTCAAGATCAGAAGTAACAGCTGTATGCTCTCCATCATCCCATAGTGCTTTATTCACAAAGCGAACCATTATTTCAAGGTCAGAAGTGAAGTGATTTCTTTACGCTCCAATTATCCTATAGTGATTTTATTCACAAACTGATCGATTGTTTCAAGTAGACCAATTAGATTTCAGATGAATCTGTGTCCTTCCACGAAATATTTTTAAAAAAAAAACTTTTCAACATCTCTGGTCGTTTCAATAAATGAAGTTCTTCCAAAATTCTCCTTCGTTCGCCATCGACACGCACGACTTCAGACAAAGAAGGAGAAGGCCAAAAAACAACAACAACTGATCTTCAAACCCCCAGAATCAATGGAACACTGTTTCATTCGTCCGTGGAAATAGATCAAGGCCATTCGAAGTCATCGGGGTTTGTTTTGGAACTGATTCTTTCTGTGGGTGCAGCAAGTGGCTGATAAGACATCTTGACGAAGTAAACGTCTCCAAGCACAGACTTAACCTATAATTTTTAAAATTTTCTTTTAAATGTTCTTTAAAACCCTTTTTTTTTTTGTCTTTAAGGGTAACCATGTTTGAGCTGGCATTAGTATATTCTTTTTTTTTGGGCAAGTGGTCGCGTGACATTATCACAATTGTCTCAACATCGGACTGCACTGAAGTGGTATAGAAATGTATTTTTTCCTGTATTTTGATGTTGAGGATTTTTCTGAGGCTTCACGTGCCAAAGTGGTTCATCTTTCTTCCGAGGCGTTGAACAAAATTAGTTCAGTTTCCACACACACATACTTTGCCAGGGGTGAACAGTCACCTTCACCTTGGCGACATTTTTTTTTTCAGGTCCAGTGCCTACACCTCTTCCGGTCCACACTGTCTTAGACATTTTGCCGTAGGTTGCACAGTATAGCGGTACCAAGGCTTACCTCGTCATCGCTGGTATCGCTTTGGGATAGTGGACTTCCAAGTTGAGCCTGAGCTATATGCCAGAATAAAGGGGTTGTTGGTTTGCGCCGCATGTGCTATCGCCTAGGGACGTTTTATTTTAAATTCGATATACATTGAAATATACAACGCACGACATTTTGTTCAGGGCATTTTTAAACAGCTTGGACGTTCCACGGATACGTTGAAAGCTCTTTCCATGCTTAACGGACTGATACGTTAACAGCCTGTGCAAATACGGCTCAAGCTAACGTGACAATGTTGGGGGTGGGGGGGGGAATGGTTTGATAGTAGAAGCTCTGTCAACATTTGACTAATGGGTGCGAAATGTTACGCAGAGGCAATCCATGGGGGAATGTAAAGGTGGAGTTGATGTATTTATATAGCATAGACACACTTATATAGCATAGACAAACAAACGTAGACACCGGCACGCACAAAAAACACTCACGCACATAATCACACACATGCGCACACACACACACACAAATACTGACACACGCTCAAAAACATCCATGCAAACACACACAAGTCCGCAATCCCATATTATGTATACCTACACACAGAGAAAGTCACAACCACACACGTGCACACTCACAAAAACACACAAATACACACGCCAATCCTAAAGACACACAGACACACACACACAAACTCCTCAATACACAAACAAGTCACCATTGATATGTTGTCTTTACGGTTATCAATTACTTCGTACATAGTTGGGAAATTGACCGCGTATGGTTACAGTGCAATAACAAATATATGGACTTAACCTGTATTCATGTTTTTCAATTATTCCAACAAATGTTTACACTGCTTCTCATATTTGGTAAATTTCCACATGGAAAAATTCGTTAAAGTTGCTTACATTTTTGCTGTATGTATTTGATTGAAACAATCACTTTCTGATTGAGTCCAGGTGCAGTCAAGAAACGAATGTTATTGTAACACATTGCCAGGTCTAATGAGAAAACCCATTGATTTTTTTTTTCCCAAAGAAGTTTTATTTTCACCCCTTTCCACCCCCCCCCTATGGCATTTACCGGATTGACCTTTGTCCAATTCGGTTTCATTTATTCATATAGTTGCCCTACGCTGGGCGGGGGGTGGGGGGCTGCTGTCTCAGCGGCGAAGTTTTAGTTTTACAAGTGTGGGGGGGGGGGGGGGTCTGGGGGAAGATGGTACGCTATGAAGGTTCTAATGAGATTCGTGCACGACCGCTTACTGTTTTTCTTTATACAAAAAAAATTAGTCCCCCTAAGCTGGCTTGGGTTGTTTGTAAAGAGAAGTTTTGGAAATATAACTCTACTAGCTTCGTGGACGTATAGCGTTGCTGGCCATTTCGAAACTCTGCACCGCCGACGCAATGTTGTTACGGTGTCTCACGCCACCCACCCACCCACACTGCTGGTGGGTGGTGCTTTAAAGTACGGCCAGTATGAGGTGTGGGGTTACGGAAGAGGGAGGGAGGGGGGTATCAGAGGAAACAGGACGCAGATCGGGTGAAAGTGGGCGGGTATCGGAATAAAGAGGGCGTGGATCATTCAGAAGAGGGCGTGGATCAGGGGGAAGAGGGCGTGGATCATTGGGTTAAGAGGGAGGGGATTAGACGAACAATGGCGTAAATAAAGGGGGGCAGAGGGTGTGGATCAGGGGAAAGAGGTCGTGGATCAGGGGGAAGAGGGCGTGGATCAGGGGGAAGAGGGCGTGGATCAGGGGGAAGGGGGCGTGGATAGGAAGAAGGAGGACGTTGAGCAGGGGTGAAGAGAGCAGGGATCAGAAGATAGAGGACGTGGAGCAGGGGTGAAGAGAGCAGGGATCAGAACAGAGAGGACGTGGAGCAGGGGAGAAGAGGGCGTGGAGAGGAAGAAGGACGACGTGGACCAGGGTTGAAAAGGGCGTAGATCAGAAGAAAGAGGACGTGGAGCAGGTGGAACTAAGCGGGGACATGCGGAAGCCAAAAAAAAAAAATAAAGAAGATGATAGGATGTTAGACGGTACGGTGAAGAAGGCGCCATCGTACTGTAGCCGGTCAGAGATCAGTTAGAGTCTGATGACAATGTTAAAATCTTGATTTGATTATTGTACACACATCTGCTGCTTTTTTTTTTTTTAAAAAGGATATCGGGTGCTTGGTGGCCGCGTGGTCGAAACTGAGCAAATCTCAAGGTTGTGGTCTGGAGTTCAATTCCAGCCAGTTAGCCGGTCAGAGATCAGTTAGAGTCTGATGACAATGTTAAAATCTTGATTTGATTATTGTACACACATCTGCTGCTTTTTTTTTTTTTAAAAAGGATATCGGGTGCTTGGTGGCCGAGTGGTCGAAACTGAGCAAATCTCAAGGTTGTGGTCTGGAGTTCAATTCCAGCCAGAGCCCAGTCAAGCAAAAACACCCCCAGCACCCCGGGTGGATGGGACTCGTTAACCTTGGATGGCAACTCATCTAAGAAAAGGCAACTCTGAAATCAAACCCGGAGCTGGAGTCCCAAAAGGCGGATAACATTGATAGAATGAAAAATTCCAACTCCTGCGACGTCACTGGTGCCAAGCCGTATTATCCAATGATGTTCCCTTGGGTTACCCAGCGGCGTGGAGAGAGGCGATTAGCTGTTGGGAACCAGCTTGAAGTATAATCCCAGGCCATGTGGATTTCGTCCTCCGAAGCCCACTCCATCGTCACATTGTGACGGACGGATGCCAGCAAATTGTGTGACAAATTTATTTTAGCCCTCCACGTTGTGACCTATCCATGTCCTAACAGGCAAGCAATACAATAAAGTAATAAAAACTGTTTAAGAGACATTAGAGACATTTTTTTTTTTTAAATTTGAAATTTAAGCGCAGCATAAGACGATAAATTGTACCGCCACATGCTGTCCCCTAATTAACATTTAAAAGTAAAAATGGTAAATCTTCTACTTCTTTTGAGACTGCTCCTACTGACCGACTTTGAATTTAATAATGATGCAGACATTATTTTATCAATTAAAAAGAAAATTTATAGGCATCACCTTTCCCTACGAAGAGCCGACCCTGGTAACCTGTTCTCGTTCTTCTCCATCGTTGCAGTCCGCATGCGTTAGCGAACAGGGGCGTTGCCCAGTATTTCGACACATTTACACTGATGCCACCTCTTGGGCGTGTCACGTAAAGACAATGCCTAACGTGGAAGAAAGGGTTTGCAGGTCGTTACCATGAAACATAGCACAGAGAGAGACAGAGTAAAAAGAGAGAACATATTTTGTGTACCCATGTTTTTTCTTTTGTTTTTTTGTGTGTGTTTTTTTTTTAAGTTTTCAACTTCAAAACATTTGAACATAGACATGATGCGTCCATATACACCGTATAGTACAGTGTACGGCCAGGATTAGACCACCGACGCCAGGATTAGACCACCGACGCCAGGATTAGACCACCGACGCCAGCATTGTTTAGCGTCACGTTAATGGCGTTGAAGACGTATTCATTTAGTTTTTCAATGACTTTAAACCATAGGTTGGTATAGGATAGTTTTAAGTGGGTTTTTTTTTTTAATATAAAAGTCTCACTGAAGTAGTTGTTCTTACCGGTAACGGTATGCTCTGAAATTCACAACTCTTTAAACCAACAGAATATGGAACGATAACAAAAAAAATAATTTAAAAAAAAAAAAAAAAAAAAAAAAAAAAGAAAAAAAAAAAAAAAAAAAAAATAAAAAAAAAAAAAAAAAAAAAAAAAAAAATTGCAGGCGAATTAAATTTTCCATGCTGTTCAATCAGTGGTCGGACAGAGGCCCTTCTTATGTAAATGAAATTAACAAATTGATTAATTCCAAACATACTTGCTGTTTGATGAATTTTATAGCGTTATTTTTTATTGAAAATAATGATTTTTCAAGAATACCAAAAAAAAAAAAAATAATAAAATAAAATAAAGACTTATGTAGACTAATAATTAAGTATATATAATTGTAGTGAAAAGAACATTTGAAAGATAAGCAAAAGGATGCAGCAGTTTATTTTTTATTGAAAATAATGATTTTTCAAAAAAAACAAAAAAAAAAAAAATAATAAAATAAAATAAAGACTTATGTAGACTAATAATTAAGTATATATAATTGTAGTGAAAAGAACATTTGAAAGATAAGCAAAAGGATGCAGCAGCAGAGTTTAAAATCAATCGACTTATTTCTAAGAGGATATCGTAAAAAAGTTGATTTCATTAATATTATTTGTTTTAGTTATTTACTTTACTAAAATGAAATTTTATTAACTCGTGGTTCGATTGGATCTCTTTCCAGTTTATTCTGTTGTATATATAGCTACGGGCTTGCTACAGCCTACATTAAGACTATCAAAAGGATGAAGAAATGAAAGCCTTTCAAAGTATGTCTCTTTCTGGAAGTGACCTCTATACAAAACTACTGGAAGGAAGGGAAAAGTCGGAAGAAGGAAGAAACGTCAAGGGTGTCAGTAGTTGTGTGTCAGTAGTTGTGTGTCAGTAGTTGTGTGTCAGTAGTTGTGTGTCAGTAGTTGGGTGTCAGTAGTTGTGTGTCAGTAGTTGTGTGTCAGTAGTTGTGTGTCAGTAGTTGTGTGTCAGTAGTTGTGGGAATGTATGAAGCCAGGATTCAAGGATGCCAAAAAGAAAAAAAAAGATAGCCAGGAGTCGGAGGAAGCAAGAAACACCAAAGAAGCCAAGAGTCAGAGGAAGCAAGGATCACCAAGGAAGCCAAGAGTCAGAGGAAGCAATAAACACCAAGGAAGCCAAGAGTCAGAGACTGCAAGGATTACCTAGGAAGCCAAGAGTCAGCGAATGCAAAAAACACCAAGAAGGATTAGGCTAGAGGCAAGACACACCAGCTTTAAACGGTATATTTTTTTTTTGTTGTAAATCAACAGACAGGGGAATGTTAATACCATTTATGGTCTGATAGATTGCCATTTAGAACACTTTAAAAGGTCAATACGTTTTAGGTAAAGCTTATGACTAATGCTGCAAGTTCCCAAGTTTTTAAAAAAAATTTTCCTTTACAGTTATCAATTGTATCTCAACTCAGTGCTTCAAATAACGCATGCTCCATCTGACCCAACAGTTTGGTTTGGATTAACCTCTTCCTCTTTCGCGAGATGTGTCCTTCGTAAAAAATAAAATTGTGCCGAATGCACTGGGATAATAAAAATAAACCGATACCACTCAATACTCAAAATGAAGTGGGTGGCGACAGCCCCGGACGAAACAAATTGCCTGATGTTCTCCTGCGCAGAACTGCAGTGAATACGAATTTGTATTGATCACCGGGTATAACGAGTGAGTAGTCGCGGACACGTAAAGACAATGTCTAACGTGGAAAAAAAAGGTTTGCAGGTCAATACGATGAGTATTTGGAGATATTCACTCTCACGAATGCGATGGAAAAGGCGCTTCGAGTTGTAGTCGGTGATTGTGGTAAGGCAAATCCGTTGACACGGATACGATGAAGAAAAAAAACAAACAAACGAAGTGCTCTTACCATGGCCGTACATGTAACTTAATGAAGATATTTCCCTTTACGTGCGGTCTATCTCACAGTGAGGTGGATAGTTCAAAGTCATCGATAAGCTCTACTTGAGACTGACGATAATAAGTCCAAGGTCAAGATTGTCAGCATTGTTTATTGATACCTTCATGTCAGTATTATTTATTGACACCTTATTATGTCAGTATTTTTTATTGACACCTTTATGTTAGCATTGTTTATCAACTCCTTCATGTAGGCATTGTTTGTTGACACCTTTACGTCAGTATTGTTTATCAATCACCTTTCTATTCGCACACCCTTAAAAGCCCCCCCCCACCCACACACACACACTTTTTACAACATTGATATTCTTCAGTCGTGGGTCACAATCCATTAATGTCTGGTCTGATTGTTCTGATTGGAGCAAAGCGTTCTATTTTTCCATGGCTGAGTCGTGGGTCTTGCGTACGACCGTCTGCGGGTTTGGGGGGCGCATAGCTAGCGATAATTAGCAATGGTAGCATTACACCAAAGGTTATCTTTCATAACTAGCGATGATACCTTAACACTAAGCGTGATCATTATTATACCTAGCTTTGATAACACAACAGCAAGCTTTTTCCGTCCTAGTAAGCACTGATGGCTGTAACTTTTAACCATGTCTATATTGTAACAGAATTTAACATTTAGCTGTTCTTCTCATACATTGAACCTCAAACCACCTGTCACATACACGAACACAATATTCTTCACTATTACAATGGAGATGATCTCTATGCATGAACATAATATTCTTTACAACTTCATGGAAGCCCTCTACGCATGAACACAATATTCTTCACAAGTATATGCATGATCTCTTTGCATGAGCACAATATTCCTCACAACTATATAGATGCCCTCTATGCATGAACAAATTTCTCTTCACAACTACACGGATGCCCTCTACGCATGAACTCAATTCTCTTCACAACTCTATGGATGCTCACCCTATCGCCACTCCCAGGCATGCACACGACTCTCACCGCACTCCATAATGAAAATATCAAGTACAGTTTTCACACACTTCACTTTTATTGAAATACTCCCATAACAATAAAAAGTATAAAATCGTAGATCCTCCAGTACACTTTTATGATCTTAACACGTCATTGGGTAGTTCAAATAACTAACACTTCCTTGTTCAATTGTCAAAAATTATTCAGTAATTCTATGTCTTCAATTATGGCTGAACCATCCTCATACTCTCGTGTTCTATGGTTCACAATCTAGTATTTCTTGAGCTTATTTAAATATAGTCTATTCACCCACATGTTGCAATACCATAACACCAGGCGTGAGCAAGCCCAAGTAGCTATGATAACATAACACCTAATGTGAGCCAGTCCAAGTAGCTATGATAACATAACAGTAAACGTGAGCTAGCCCAAGCAGCTATGATAACATAACACCAAATGTGAGCCAGCCCAAGTAGCTATGATAACATAACACCAAATGTGAGCCAGTCCAAGTAGCTATGATAACATAACAGAAAATGTGAGCCAGCCCAAGTAGCTATGATAACACAACACCAAATGTGAGCCAGCCAAAGTAGCTATGATAACATAACACCAAATGTGAGCCAGTCCAAGTAGCTATAATAACATAACAGTAAACGTGAGCCAGCCCAAGTAGCTATGATAACATAACAGTAAACGTGAGCCAGCCCAATTAGCTATGATAACATAACAGTAAACGTGAGCCAGCCCAAGTAGCTATGATAACATAACAGTAAATGTGAGCCAGCCCAAGTACCTATGATAACATAACACAAAATGTGAGCCAGTCCAAGTAGCTATGATAACATAACACCAAATGTGAGCAAGTCCAAGTAGCTATGATAACATAACACCAAATTTGAGCCAGTTCAAGTAGCTATGATAACATAACACCAAATGTGAGCCAGTCCAAGTAACTATGATAACATAACACCAAATGTGAGCCAGCCCAAGTAGCTATGATAACATAACAAAACATGTGAGCCAGTCCAAGTAGCTACGATAACATAACAGTAAACGTGAGCCAGCCCAAGTAGCTATGATAACATAACAGTAAACGTGAGCCAGCCCAAGTAGCTATGATAACATAACAGTAAACGTGAGCCAGCCCAAGTAGCTATGATAACATAACACCAAATGTGAGCCAGCCCAAGTAGCTATGATAACATAACACAAAATGTGAGCCAGTCCAAGTAGCTATGATAACATAACACCAAATGTGAGCAAGTCCAAGTAGCTATGATAACATAACAGAAAATGTGAGCCAGTTCAAGTAGCTATGATAACATAACACCAAATGTGAGCCAGTCCAAGTAGCTATGATAACATAACACCAAATGTGAGCCAGCCCAAGTAGCTTTGATAACATAACACCAAATGTGAGCCAGTCCAAGTAGCTATGATAACAAAACACCAAATGTGAGCCAGTCCAAGTAGCTATGATAACATAACACCAAATATGAGCCAGTCCAAGTAGCTATGATAACATAACACCAAACGTGAGCCAGTACAAGTAGATATGATAACATAACAGTAAACGTGAGCCAGCCCAAGTAGCTATGATAATACAACACCAAATGTGAGCCAGTCCAAGTAGCTATGATAACATAACACCAAATGTGAGCCAGTCCAAGTAGCTATGATAACATAACACCAAATGTGAGCCAGTCCAAGTAGCTATGATAACATAACACCAAATGTGAGCCAGCCCAAGTAGCTATGATAACTAACACCAAATGTGAGCCAGTCGAAGTAGCTATGATAACATAACACCAAATGTGAGCCAGTCCAAGAAGCTATGATAACATAACACCAAATGTGAGCCAGCCCAAGTAGCTATGAAAACATATTACCAGGCAAGAACCAGGCCATCAAGCAGTGATATCATAACACCGGGTCACATTCGACACAACTAGCAGTGATATCATAACACCTGGTCACATTCGACACAACTAGCAGTGATATCATAACACCGGGTCACATTCGACACAACTAGCAGTGATATCATAACATCGGGTCACATTCAACATAACTGCCAATGAAAACACAGCATCACTAATTTTTAGCGATCTAAAAACACATCATGTAAACAAAAAAAAACAAAACCAACCTATGATTGCAAATGACACATCAACACTAAAGCACCAACCCATTAATTGATTGCTGTCGTTTTTCCTAGCCTGGCTTACAGTACAGCATTCCATCAATGTCACTTTGAACAACGATGGACATTTTAGTTGATGGCAGAGAAAAAAAAACATTAATCAGACTGACTTTGGAAGCAATAGATCAGTTTAACATTAAAACATATATGGTATAGAACATATACTTTTGTATTCAATTATATAATTCTTTTTTTTTTTGGGGGGGGGGGGGGGGGGGGTGGGCCTCTTGTCTCTCAACATTTCAACATGGTGTAGGATTTGAGGACCAGTTGACTGTTAGAATTTGCTAATGTTCCTTCACTCGCAGTTAAACCCAGATAATAACTTAAAGTTGAAATGAATTAATATAGTTTCTGTCACAACCCACTAAAGGGGCAGGTAGAGGGTAAGGGGAAGTGTGGAACGATGGCCCCGGAGGTTGGAAAAAAAAGGGGGGGGGGCGGGTCACTGAGCATATAGATGAAAAGTATGTACTTGATATTTTTGAAGTGTTTATGAAGACGTCATTCTTGAACACATCATTCTTTGCCACTGCCTTAAATTGATTTTATTCTGACGAAATAACACGTGATTTGGTGTGGACGAGATAGCGCGCGGTTTGGTGTGACGAGATAGCATGTGGATTGGTGTGACAAGATAGCACGTGATTTGGGGTGACGAGAAAGCACGTGATTTGATGTGACGAGATAGCACGTGATTTGGTGTGACGAGATAGCACGTGGTTTGTTTTGACGAGACAGCACGTGATTTGGTTTGACGAGATAGCACCTGATTTGGTGTGACGAGATAGCACGTGGATTGGTGTGACGGAGACAGCACGTTATTTGGTGTGACGAGATAGCACGTGGTTTATTGGGACCACATAGCACGTTGTTTGGTGAAACAAGTCAACATATGGTTTGGTGCGGCTAGATAAAATGTGGTTTCACATTACAAGATAACCTGGGGGTTTTGTTTGGCCTAGATGACACGTTGCTCGGTCTGAGAAAATAACACGTTTTTTTTTTGTGGGGGGGGGGCTGGTTATTTTCGATTACATTTAAAAACTTTAGTAGTTACAGATACGAACCCCCCAAAAATGTATAGATTTCATGAACTAAATATGCACAAGCCTGTTCCCGTTTTAATGTCATCAGATAACCAACTACCCAAGCAGACCAGCAGATCGGTGTATGACAGTATATTTTGGTCCTAAGGATGAGCGTGTCTTATTGACAATGTACCCAGCAGGGCTAAATAAACGTCCATACTGATCTCACGAGGCTGGTATATACAGACATGCCTTGGCCAATAATGTCAATCAGTGTTTATCAACCTCCCACTGTTGTAGTGGATCAACTGATTCAACAACTTTCCCAATCTTCTTCTTTTTTTATTTTTATTTTAAAACAAGTGGTTTAGTTCATAATCAGGGCCTTCAACGCCTTGTTCTAAGTCAGACCCCGTGACCTTCATACGCCTTGAATTAGATTCTAATATGGTTTCATTGACACCGTCACTACTAACATGAGTCTGCGAACTGATCATCGTTCAGAGTAACTGCTACTTGTTGCCCGATGATTGGCCATGTTTGTATCGTCTGACAATTCAAAATTCGATTAATAGTTAATTGTTTATTTTTTTAAAAAAATAAAAAGATTTATGGATTGATTGACCTTAATTTCCGGATGCCCCAGTTGTTTTGTGGGGGGTGAGATACAACGAGGCATGGGCGCCTGCAGGTAGGCACTTGCCCTTCCCCCTGGATTGATTGGATAAAAATTTTTTAGATAAAAATAGACACAAAAATGATTAAAGTAAAGAGAAAATAAAGAGAAAGTAACTAAGCTGATGTCCTGTCCGTTCCTTCACCATACAAATACGCTACAGTAAATTAAAACTATATTAAAACATTACTAAAAATTTTTTGCCCCGCCTCCCCCCCCCTGGAAAGTTTTCTGGGGGCGCCCATGCAACGAGGTATAGTGTGAAAATTTAACACGTTGTTTTGTGTGACACGAAATCATGTGGTTTGGTGTGGCGAGACATCATGTGGTTTGGTGTGGCAGGATAACTTGTTGTTTGGTGTGACAAGACAAAATTATGTTTTGTGCGAGAAAACAGCATGCGGCTTTGTGTGGCGAGATATCATGCGGCTTTGTGTGGCGAGATATCATGCGGCTTGTTGTGGCGAGATATCATGTGGTTTTGTGTGACAAGATGACGTTGGCTTCCCTTTATCTAACGTCCATAAATCCAATTCGTGGCCGTTCAATAAGTCTTGTCCTTTCTGACAACTCTCCGTACAGCATATCTTTTAAAATACGGCCTCCCTCCATTCTCCTTACATGGCTTAAGCAGCGATGGCGCCCCCGGCCAAAAGTTGAACAAATGCTACACATTTGTGCACGTTCCAAAATCTCTGCGTTAGGCACCTTGTCCTGCCATCGAATTCGTAAAGTGTAACGCAGACATCTTTCATGGAAGCTGTTGAGTTTCCGCTAAAGACTGGTATATGTGGTCCAAACTTCACTGCCATATAGGTGCGTACTAAACACAAATGCCTGATGGACGCTACGTTTTGTAATATCAGTTAGTTTAAGATTATTCCACACCCACGTATTCAATTTAACCACAGTTACTGCTGGCTTTGCTAGCCTGATGTTTACCTGTCAGGGATTGAATTAAGTGTTTTCCGAAGCTAATGAGTCCCATTCACCTTGGGTGCTGGTGATGTATTTGCTTGTCTAGACTTTGGTGGGATAGAAATCCAGACACCAATTGAATGTATATAAAAGTCTCGACAGAGCACGCTGATTATTAAATGCCACCTCCATTGCCTTAAAGTTAATTAAATACACCCGGGCTAGGCGAGACAATCTATAGAAACATTAACACGAAACGATGAAGGTATCGGCAAAAAGCCCCCTTCAGAAAAAAAAAGAAGAAACAATTTGGAAAATGTGTTATTATGTTGGGTAGAGTTTTCTATCTGCTGGAAAACGCTTTATATGTCTTAATCGTGTTCATTAAATCTCTAATCACCATGATTATAGAATAATCCAGTGGATATATGCTTACAAAAAGAATAATAATGAATTGGCTTACAGCCCTAAACTCATATTCAGCCCTAAACTCATATTCAACAAAACATGATTTTTAGAACAGTAACATCAAGGCTGGTGTGCTGAACAGCTTACGTGGGAAGGGTGGGAATGGGGGGACAGCCCGCCCATGGGGGAGGGGGGCACCTTTTTTTCTTCTCTATATCAATAGATAGTTATCTTAGCCATCTTTCTTTTTTTTGTGGGTGGGCGGAAATATACCTTGTCACGCCCCGGGCGGCACTTACGCTAACAACTCCACTGTGCTGAACGACGTGTGTTTTCTTTTTGTGTGTGAATATTGTGTACGTTCAGCAGCAGGGACGTAAGTTCAGTTTGAGAATCTTAATCAAACTGTTGCTTAGAACAGAGGAAACAAAATGGTATGCATCTGACGAGTTATTGTGTCCTCCTTTGTGAGGCGTACTCCCCTCGCAACAACATTGAGTCTGGGTTAACAAATTGTTCAGCCCGCAGTAAACATGAATTCTGGATATTCACGTTACAACAGGATATCAGCACACGAATTTTAAAGTACAAAGCTATTGATTTTTTTCTTCTTTAAAGTCCAATGTGATGATTATGTTTTAATGATGAGATTGTGAGTTCATCAATTCCTTGGCTAGATTGACTATGTTTGTTTACTGATGTTTAGACAAGCCTTGGCTCCTTGCCATGGACTTGAGTTTAATTAGTCACTAGAGTAGTCCTAGACTACAAGAAGACCAGTCACAGAAGGGGGACACCAGAAGAGAAGCAGAAACACCGTAAACGAAAGACAGTGGTCATTGATGGTGATGCCCCTGAGGTATCTCAGAATGTCAGAGACAAATTTCATATATCTGCTTTCTACACCATTGTTGACAAACTTGAGGCAGAGATGAGTAGACGAGGACAGGTATATAATGATCTAGCAGTTCGATTTTCTTGTTTGGTCGATGTACCACAAAAATCTCAGTGTTGTGAAGGACTAATAAATGCTTATTCTGAAGATCTGAACAATAATGTATGTACTTAAATACAACAGTGCCACTCATGTATTCGCCACAAGTTTAGTGCATCAAAATCTGAGAACAACACGTTCAGTCATGCAGAACTCTACAAAGTAAGTTAGAGACAACATCGAGTGTGCTTTTCCAAATGTAGAAATCGCCTTGCGCATATTTTTAACATTAATGGTTACGAACTGTTTAACTGAGGACTCTTTTTCTCAGTTGAAACGTACAAAAAAATCCAAGTAGATCGAAAATGAAACAAGAAAGGCTTGATTTCTTATCTTTGCTGATGATTGAGGCAGACTTGTTGCGCAAAATTAACTTTGATGATGTACTCAAAAACTTTGCCAGACGTAAATCTAGAAAAAAGAACTTTAAAATGTAAATGTGTGCTCTCTCTGACTTTCTTATCTATCAAAAAAGTTACAGTATTTTTGTCTACTAGTATTACAAAAATAATTAACTATTAATTTTAATACATAAATACCTTCTTGTAGGTTTTATATGAGTGATAGTAATACAAACATATGTGTTTACATTTCACAACTGTTTGGTTTTTGCATAATATTGAACATACCAGCAGTCAGTGGAGGATCGGGGGGGGGGGGCCGGGACTGTAGGGGGCACCCACGTGGGTTTGTGCCTAGGGCATCAAGATGGCTTAATCCGGCCCTGCTGACAAGTCATGACTCTAGATATACAACGTATTTTTAATTAGTGTTTGGACAAGACCTGACCCTGGAAATACAACTTATTTTTAATATATTTTTTTTTGGACAAGTCTTTTGGTTCTAGGCATACAAATAATTTATAACTAGTGATAAAAACGGACCCTGACAGAGCCCAACGAACGCAGGCAGTGTCAGTGCTAGGCACGCTGCAGTGACCGTTCACAGTAGGTGGCGGGGAAACAACACGTGCCGTATCTCACATCATGAATTATTCACGCTTGACTATTGTATATGTCGAGCAATTTAGGTAGTTTTCCACTCTATTCCGTCAATATGAAACAGACACATTGGAGAGGCATTATCAATATATGCAAATAATATTAAATAATTCTTAGTATATAAAAAGGCAGAATTTTTTTTTAAATGACTAAATATAATAAAATGTAAAATGAATAGGAGATAGATTGCAATTTTGAGTAATTAAACAAAAAAAAAAAAGACAGCTATGTTTATTCATTAGCAATTTAGCTACCAATATTTTTTTAAAATTCGTATACGTAATGTCTCGTAATTTAGACAATCAATTTTTTAACACGTTCGAGAGAATACGAGATTCTGCACGAGAAGTAAAAAGAGTCATGGCGAGACAAGAAGATGCATCAGCCATGTGTTATAAATGGAGGCTGTCTTTATCTATATTCCTGCGGATATGATTATAATTTTAAGGAACACGATTATTGCGTTTATAATTATCCTACTTTCAGCTGTAAAGGAGGAGCTGTTGTCTTACATTTAAAATGTGTAATGTGATTCTGTGATCCATTTGATAAAAGTGAATTAGGCAATAAACAGAGATCCGAAATGTCAAAGAAAATTTTAAAAAAAAATCAAACTGATTCTGGGCGAAACTCGCATCCTTCCATATAAAGAAGAAAAAAAAAGGGGGGGGGAGGGGTCACCCCGGACAGCCTGCCCCCTTCCCGCACGCACTTTCTACGCCACTGATTCGAAAGTTTAAATGCTAAAAAAAAGGTGACATATGTTGCTTTTTTTAAAAAATAAATAAAACAAAAAAATCCCACCCTGCTTACGTGGAGACCAATTAAAGGGTCGGCTGAAAACTTCAAAAACGTTTTGGATAGATAAATAAGTTTTTTTTTTAAAATAACAACAACATATTCTTAATGTTAAAGACCGTCAAGTATTTTTAAAGATTAGCAATAGAATGACTACCTGCCCCCCCCTCCCTCACAATAACCTTTTCCATCTCGAAACGAAGATAATTGTGTGGCTGCAGATCTGAATTATCATAATGAAAGGATACCAAGTACATTACCTTTGACAAATGACGTAGTAAGTGGGGCATGGTGGGGACGATCAGCCCCGGGGGTGGGAGGTATGGGCGCTCTTTACCCTTATATTGAAGCGCGGCATTTTCGGCCAACCACAGAACGCTTTTCGTAGAAAAATGGTCGGCGGAAAAAGATTGGCCCCAGCCCTGGCGGCACTCTTACCCTAGCTACGCCACCGCCTACCGCCACACAACCCTGCTCGGAAATGAAATGATCGAAAAGTTATCTAAACGCATACAATACATCATTACGGTGTGTTGAACACAGTGCGTCCCACTACTCACATATCCTCTGCTCAAACACAGTCCACTGCACGTACATGCTCCATGTTTAGACAACGCAATCGTGTTGACAACCCCGCTCCGGGTTGTCGAGTGACAGGCGGTCGTCTCAAATGAACGTGCGAGCTGGTATCCCCATCCGAAAACACCTGGACGTCGGACACACTACTGCTAACTGAGCAGAAGCCAAACGACGAGGTGTTTGCAGCCATCGGTGACCTGTCGTCTGCGCTGATTCACGGACCAGAACCAGAGATGCCCAAACTATAATCGCTTTGCCCCTAAATTTTTTTCTTTTTTTTTTCTTTTCAAGTCAATGTCTACTATATAGCTTCCTCGTGAATGACACTAAAAAAAAATATAAAGATATTTTTTACACCAATTTGAAATCGATGGTGTTATGATTGTATTCTTTAAGTGGTGTCTAACCATACTATATAGAACCATTGTTTTTTTTGTGAGCATTGATTAATTTGGTTTCTATACTTTTGATACTCTTTTTTTTTCTAATTTGCATGTTGCGGTTAGTGTAAATCCAAGTGGATAGAAAGAAACACAGCGGGACACAACTTGGGGGTGGCGCTTGCATGATAAGTCTGGTGGTTTTTATTATTTAAATTATTATTATTATTATTAGAGTGTTCTTACACAGCGCGGTACCCCAGCCTAGGGTTAGGCTCAACGCGCTTCACATAAAAAATATTGGCAATGATAAACATGACATTAAAATAGTTACATACATTTATTTAATTTTTAAAAAAAAAAAAAGTTTTATAAAATTTAAAAATATATTTATTTGTTGGAAAAAGTTGGAGGGGGGTGCAGGGAAATGGGGGGGGGGTGTTAAAGAGGAAAGACACCTAAAACGTGCAAAGGTTGCCGTGGTTGTCGTAGACAGATGATATGTTGCTATGGAAGCTTCATAAGCCCAGGATGTGGGGTACTGACAGATCGGGACACAAGAGTACTGAAGTCTTATATGCCCAGGGAGTCGGGTACTGACAGAAAGGTCTCCCACGGAGTTTTCAATTATAATGAAGAGCTGCATTTTTAGCGGGTTTTTTTTGGCCCGATTGCAGAGTTGTTGTTTTTTTTCTTTCTTTCGGTGTAAATTTGCGACACAAAGTCTGGCTACCCGGGGGTTGGGGTGGAGGGGGGGGGTTCACATTAAACCTATTGACATGGGCGCCCGCAGGGGGGGCTAGGGGCACTTGCCCCCTCCCCTGGGTTGATTGGATACAAAAAGTTTATAAAAAAATAGACAAAAAATGTACAGAAGTAAAGAGAAAATAAAGAGAAAGTAACTAAGCTGATGTCCTGTCCGTTCGTTCACCATACAAATACGCTACAGTAAATTAAAACTGCATTTAACCATTACTAAAAAAATCCCCCCCTGGAAAGTTAATCGATTTTTTTGCACCCCCCCCCCAGAAAGTTTTCTGCGGGCGCCCATGCCTATTGACACCATTTTTGTATATAACTTTTAAGAAAAAGAAAAGAAAAAAGATTAGAAATGTTACAATTATTGGTATATTCCTGCTCCGTCGTCTCCATTGGGAGATTCCGATAACTTAAATGCAATTGACCCTTTTCCCAGGTCAGGCTTAGGCTTGTGTATACCTGTTGTTGTTTTTATTATAAGTGTGTATTTATTATTATGTTTTTGTTGTCTCGCTGGTCGGGTGGTCCTGTCGGGCCCTTCAAGGAAAAAAAAGATCATGTTAATATTAAGAACAAGATTTCGTTATGCTTTAAAATGTAGTTGGGGGGGGGGGTCAACCCAATGTAATTGGGATAATAAATTAAAAACATTCTTCAACAACACAATAAATTAACACACTGACAGAAAGAAATATCTGGCTAAAAGTAACCAGGAAGTATGCTGCCTCCTCCACACTCCCTGTCACACGCACCCTTCTAACATGCGCAATCGTTGCTCGAATCGGAAGTTTTCAAATGATGAGTTATAATCTCAGAAGATAAGACCTTACAATCGCACAAGATTAATAGAAAAGGCCTTACAACCGCACAACATAAAATAAAAGGCCTTACGACCATACGGTCTTAAAAGGTAAGGCCTTACAACCACACAATATGAAAAGTAATGCCACACAATCTTCAAAAATGAGGCATTGCAACCACACAGTCTAAAAAAATGAGGCCTTACAACCACACAGTCTAGAAAATGGGGCCTTACAACAACTCAATCTTAAAAAATGAGGCCTTACAAGAACGCAAAAATCGTATAAGTTAAGGCCTTACAACAACGCAATCGTAAAATCAAGCACATCTTATCTTTAGAATAAAGTCGATTATAGGGTTTGTCCCGAATAAAGCCGGCAATTAATTCAGTGAAATGGGTTGTTATCGTGCTAAACCCTCGATGTAAGCCCTCGATGCATGCCCGAACTAAGCCGGCCCATCATTGCTGTTCGGGTCCCGGATGTCACCGAAATCAACAGGATTACACACGGGTAAACACATGCAAACGCTTTGGTTTCACGTGAATTCTGTTTCATTACAATATCCGATGGCGCCGAGACGTCCCGTAGTCGTGTGTGCCACGCAGCAGCTACCTAGTTGTAGAGACCGACCGAAAGTGATTTTCTAATTTCGGCCGAAGCTGAAAATGGGCCGAAAGTTTAGAATGACTTTGGGCAAAAAAAAAGAAGAAAGGCCGAAAGTTTTAAAATGACTTTCGGCCGAAACCAAACATTAAATAGTTAAATATTTTGAAATTCGTTCCCGCATACATTTGCATACATCGAAAATGATGGGGGAAAGTATAAATATTTACATTATTTTCATAAAAAATGAGATAATCGTGAATATTAATAAATAAGCATCTAATATAGGGGTCTCAACCTATTAAAGATCGGTTAGTTTGTTCTTAAAGATCGCTGAGTTTGTTGTTAAAGATCGTTCAGTTTTTTGTTAATGATCGCTTTATTTGTTCTTAAAGATAGGTTAGTTTGTTCTTAAAGATCGCTTAGTTTGTTGTTAAAAAACATTTATTTTGTTTTTTTAAGATCGCTTGGTTTCCTTTTCAAAGATCGCTTGGTTTCGTTTTAAAGATCGCTCAGTTTATTTTTTTTAATATGTTAGTTTGTTCTTAAAGATCATTTAGTTTGTTCAAAAAGATCGCTAAATTTTTTTCATAAAGACCGCTTAGTTTGTGTTATTAAAAGATCGTTTTGTTTGTTCATAAAGATCACTTAGTCTGTTCTTAAAGATCATTGATTTTGTTCTTAAATATCGCTTAGTTGTTCTTAAAGATCATTATTAGTTTATTTTTATAGATCTTTTACTATGTTATTAAGAATCGTTTAGTTTGTTGTTAAAGATCGCGTATTTTTTTGTTGAAGATCTCTTAGTTTTTTCATAAAGATCGCTTAGTTTGTTCTTAAAGATAATTGATTTTGTCCTTAAGATCGATTAGTTTGTTCTTAAAGATCAATAGTTTTTTTCTTTAGGATCATTTATTTTGTTCTTAAAGACCTTTTGTATATTCCTTAAGAACATTTAGTTTTCTATTAAAGATATTTAGTTCGTTCTTAAAAATCGTTTAGTTTGTTCTTTAAGATCGTTTAGTTTGTTCTTAAAGATCGCTTAGTTTGTTTTGAAGATCGTTTAGTTTGTTCTTAAATGTCGCTTTGTTTGTAGTCAAATATCGTTTAGTTTGTTCTCGAAGATCGCTTAATGTGTTCTTAAAGATCGCTTTATTTGCTTTTAAAGATCGCTTTGTTTGTTTTTAATGATCGTTTAGTTTGTTCTTAGAGATTGCTTAATATGTTCTTAAAGATCGTCAAAGTGTGTTTGTATATATCGCTTTCGCTGAGTATTAGATGACTGAAAATCTCAGTCAATTTCGGCCAGATGGCCGAAAGACTAAGTAAATTTCGTCCGAAACCGAAAAAAGCCCGAAAGTTAACTTTTGTCTTTCGGCCAAAATCGAAATTAAGCCGAAAGTTAACTTGTCAGTTTCGGCTAAAACTGAAACTTGTCCGAAAGTGCTAAAATGGCCACTTTCGGCGCCGAAACCAAAGCCGAAGCCGAAATTTGATCGGTCTCTACTTAGTTATTTAGATTCTCACTGAGAAGTTTTTGTTATAATAATATACTTCGCTATTGAAATTCTCAATTCGTGATAAGATAGGCTTTCCCTTGAATTGATATATATATATAAATATATATATATATA